TGGCGAAACAGTCGCTGTTTATTGTGAGAACCATACGGAACACACAAATATACTATGTGGGCAGAAAGCAGAGACTTTATGTATAAGAATCCAGTCCGTACCTGACAGGAAACACATTACGTCTCCGCTACAAAGCCCAACCGGTTAAAGCTGTTTGGGGAAACAGTCGCTGTTTACTGTGAGAATCATACAGAACACATAAATACACTGTGTGGAGCAAAATTCAGAGCTGCTTCATATTAAAACAGCTGGTACATATAGTTACCACTGTGCTCTAAGGGATTAATTCTGCGTATGTAATCAAAATTTGTTATTTTTCCTAAATGTATGTACTTGAGTATATTTTCGAGATTCAACCGTCTTTATGATCTTTCCTGCAATTTATTCAAGAAATATGAATATGTAATTGGTTTCCTCTGTGTTCGCTTGTAGGCCAGTCTCTTTAAGTGACGCTGTCGGAGTTTCCGTTAATGAATTACAATTACGAAGTTCTGGGATCGATTTGGAGCTGAGACACTATTGTTAGCAGTTGATGGGTGGTTCGATACAGTAATTTAAATAATGCACCCGTACATTCTTTATGACTAGCAATGAATAGGCTCGTGTGGCATGAATGCTCCACGTGTATGACGTCACATTTCAATTTACCTTTTTACTTCGTCCTCCCTCGAGAGCGTAAGCAGGAAGTCCCAGTAACAAGACGAATGTTTGCAGCTCACAGAACGGAAATCACACACACCGGCTTCAATTGAATTCAATTTTAAAATGATGAATATTTCTTTGAGAATTTCTGCAAAGTGTTTCCGTTCTTTGACATCATATTCAAATGAGGAAAACAGAATAAACATACAAAATTCAGCGTCACGTTTGAATTTCTCAGGGTTAGTGAATATTAAGGTTACTCTCTTGTGGAAGTGACACCGTGTATTTTGGTACAAAGCTACCAAACATTCTGGATGGATCCCTCTCCGTCGGTACAGAATGTGATATTTCTCTGACATTTCACATTCTTGTCTTAAAGAACATGGACATTGCAGGCTTCTCAGAAGTGACTCCGTGTAGTTGTGTATAGAGGTATTTGTGTTAAGGAGGAACGTGCACATTCATCTTCAGGGAAAATATGAATCTGTTGATCATTTTGGCCGGGCTCTATCTCCTCTCCCCCTGGGTCGAATTAACTACCTCCTTTGCAGAATGCCTACATAACCTGATCCGTTCGTTATCACGGTTCTACCCTGAAGATAGAGGTATCATATTCCTACGAAACTTTTACTTCAACCTACGATATTACATAATGCTACAGCCCGTAATATTAAATTCTGAGCAGTGTTCGTCGTCTAAATATCAAAATTTAAATAAATGAATAGGCACTTCAAGGACACTTTGAAACTTACAACTTTCCATTTATTAACATTTTATTTGATATGGATTCAAGGGACAGCGGAGTATGGAAGTAACTTAGAATGTCCATAATATTAAGCGTTTCGTTGTATTGTGCGGTCTGGCTACTTTACCCCTGAGTATGTAGGCCACTTCATAACGTATTCTTCGAACACCGGCGGACCAGGTTCAGTGCCTCTCACGTTCCATTCTGCATTACCAATTTCCTTCGCTATTCCCCACCCCCCGCAAAATTCTGAAATCAGATTCAAAACTTAAAAGAGAAACCTCTCAGAGCGTTTGGTACTTCACTCGAGTCAGAGAAAAATGAACACATGCTGTGTCTGCATTGCGCGTGGCTTTCTGTTGACGCCAGTAACAAACAGAAAACAGAGAGAGGCAGTTGGAACAGACAACTTACAGAGGCCTTCTATATGCTGTATATACATACATATAATATGTAAAATGTAAATTGTACATACTGACAACAGACTTCTTACTGCTGATTGTGATTCCGGCAAACGACAGACCCTCTCGTCAAAGAGAGCTCCCCATAACAACAAACCCTCAACTGTCTGACAGCAATAAAGATCTGGTCGTAAGCCCCAGATGTGAGCTTTATTCCAAGGCAGACTGGCCGACTGACCGTCGGTCGTAACACAACTTTGACTTTGACTTGATGGTTTAAATGGTTAAAGTGAATATTTATTTCTTATGTAACTGTATTGATTGGATTAATCTTGCTCTGGCTCTAGTGAACACGGAAATGAACCTTCAGTTCCTTAAAACGTGAATGATTTTAACAGCTGAGCGATGTTAACTTCCACACTGCCTGCAAAAGTGACATACGTGCAATTCATTACGTAGACCCAGCTCCAACACTCGAAGTTGAGACTCCATCACGAGAAGCAGGAGTGTAGTGCGCATGTCTAGTCCGCAGCTCATCTCGGCACTGCGGTCACGTGATATATTCCCCGAGTTCAATAAAGTTCGCGTCGCAACAAGCAAGTAACCGCTGATTGTCAATAAAAGAATTAACCTTAATTAATTATCGGAAATTCACCACAACCCCAGTTCAATATCACCCCTGTTACTCCACCTCAGAATGTATCCCCCCTACACCAGAGGAAATACTTTAAATTGTGCACATTTTGTTCAAGGGTCCCCCCCCCCGATATCTGTTACAGAACTTTTGTATTGATTGAAACTGCGAGAAAGAAGAACTCCTGCAAGTTTCTGAAACTGGTTCCGGTGTTCTGAAAACTGGTATAGTCCCTAACCAAGCAGGTTAGCACAGGCGATAGTGGGCTTGGCTTGTATTCCAGAAGTTTTCCGTTCAAATCGCTGCTGGGACATCGGATTTTCTGACTGATATTTTATGGTTTTCCTCAGTCCCTCCAGGTAAATTCCGAGATATATCCCGTTTAAGCTACGCCGTCCTCCTTCCGAATCTTCTCCAGTTCATCATACATCATTCATCCTAACATTCGGCCTAGACACCTGAACAGAAGGCTTTCTGACCTGTCACACTGTTGGCCGAGAAGTGAACACCCCCACCATCGACTGCGACCAGTTTGATTTAATTTCTTGGAAACGCGTACAGGTCAGTCATCAGAAGGGCTTAACAAGCGGGGAAGTGCGGTTGCCCACTGGTTCTATCTCATAGTTCATTAATTACATTTACAATTACGGTAAAAGTGGAAGTTATTCAGGCTACAGCTCTTAAAAGGTAAAGCTATCCCTGTAACAGGCCGTGGAGGCCCACAAGGATGTGAGACTTCGAGGCTCCCTCATTTTCTCTAGACACTCGGCCCACAGATGGCGGTGAGTTTGTCAGCCTTACGTGCTGGCCGCCCTTTACCCCCAGGAAGATTCGTGATAATCATTTCTGTTAGAGGCTGAGTCGACCCCAGGGCCATTGTGCGACTGGAAGGATTAGGTCAATTGAAAAATCCAATTAAAGGAAGTACATGAAGTCTTCACATAATTGTCCGGATATTGATAGCATATTCTTCGCCTTATAGAGTGTGTGTAGTGACCGGTTGTGCGCTGTGTTGGACTGCAATTGTAAATGTAATTAATTAACTCCACGGAGGTAGAGTCGGTGGACAATTGACATTTGTAACTGCAAAGCACTTCCTCCTCCTGATGAGGGTACCTTACGACCCAATCGCTGTAAATGTTTCCACGTAATTAGATCAAATTGCTTGCACTCGATGGCGGTGCTGTTTTCCTAATTATTTGACAAAGTCGTAACATAAATAACGAAATAAAAAATGTCCTGTTGAGTGGCGTCTGGTGAAATGTAGAGCCTCACATTTCGGGGAAACTTTCAGCTTGACGCTTGCTGTTCCTGGTTCTTCCTTGGCTTACTATTGGACCCTGAAAATGGAGGCGATATATCCCTCCGAAACGTCGGGCTATTTCCGAAATTCAAGGCTTTTAAACCCAAAGAGCCTAACGTTCGAAGTCACTGGTGAGAGAAACAGACAACTTGTTCAGTTGCATATAGCTGTAGCAACATAGCGACTATCTGTGGACTGGATGTAGGGTGAACCAAAGTTCGATTCCTGACAGGAGCAGGGCGTCCAGATCGGCTGTGGGGCCCAACCAGTTTTCTACCCATTTGGTACCGTACTTATTTCTTTGTGCAGAATATGTGGAGCTATACCTCAGTTCCTACAAGTGCCGTCATGTCGTGATGCCTAATTAAACACTGAGAGATGCCTACTTTCCTACTTTTAGTGTGTCAGTTGGCAAACAGCGAACAGTTAGGAATAAGGATCTTGAAGATGGTCATTTCATAAACACTATTCCAGAATTCTCTAGGGGGCTGAAGAAAACCACAGCAGCCCATCAGGATAATCGCAACACGACCAGTATTCAAATGGCCTGCCTCCGAAATACAAATATAGACTGCTACCGCTGCCGTAACCAGCTCAGAAATAAAATATTAAGTGACGTCACAAGAAGCTTTCCTATCCCCTATGTTCTTTACTTTCTTTATCTTCTGTTTCTTCTTCAGTCCGAAAGCCAATGATATTAGAGAGTCCGAAAGAACGCCGATCAGACTGACGTATGAAGCTTAGGCGTTAACACTGTATGCGCGACCGCAACCTGCATTTTTCCAAGGAGGAAACGTTGCTTAAAAGCGTTCATATAAGCCCTTTAAATCTCTTTGCACTTACCGGCCCATAGTACTGCGGATACAAGAGTGTAAGTGTAACATTGAGATGACCTTGAGTGAAGTGGTTTACTGATGCCCGCTATGAGTTGTCGGCGATGGGCGGCTCCAATTGCCGGTCTTATACTCGAGCTCCAAACGGAACAGTAACTGATGGCGTTGCTAACGTTGATTGGTTTGAGTGTTATGTGTAACGCGTGTGTTATAATACTATAGGCCGGTGTCAGTAGGCAAGGGAATTTGCATGTGAGGATTGCTAGCTTCTGAAAAGTGTTTTCCATTTTTGGTATTGATACTTTCCTAAGTTTTGATTTTTCCAAAAATTCGGGCAGAGGGGAGCAGATTACCGGCCTACACCTCCCCCTCCGTCGGCGCCCATGACTGTGTATCAGTGTGGCGTCGGTATGATGACGAAACTTGTTTCCTGTGTTTGCAGCTGACCTTTGACACATTCACGGTCGGGAAGTTTGTGTCGTTTACGTCAGAGGGCTGTCCGGATGGTCACATGACGATAAAGGAGTTGGACAGACCGTCCACAGGAGGGCAGTGGTGTGGCAGTGCGTGGGGCTACACAGTGTACTACAGTGAGACTACATCACTCAACCTGACTCTACAATTGTACCGCCTCTCGGAACAGGTAACTTTCAGTCTTCTTCTTATGGGGATAATTAGAGTAATTGCCGTTGGAATTTCATGGGGTGGCCTCCTACACTATATTAACATTCCCGTCCCCTGCCTTTCCTATCCAGCGCCGGAAATGGGGGCTAGACGTGGGTAGACGACAGACCTTGAGTTTGAGGCAGCCATTTCAGGTGCCTCAAGACGTCATAACGGCCGTTCCCAACGGCGACACACGTGGGAACGAATCCAGGAGCCTGCGTTATAGCAACCCGTGTTCACAAGAATTCTGTGTTGCTTTGTGTCCCAGGGCATTGGGTACAACTTCGACTTCAAGTTAGCGTACAAGTTCCTGCGACGCAGCGAGGCGCGTCTCCGTTATGGCAACAGTAGCGTCGCGACGTGGCGAGGTGATCTGGTTCCTGGGTCGTACTGTGACCGAGTGCTTGAGCGCTGCGACGCCCGTCCCTGCCGAATCCAGTCGCCCAACTACCCCGGCGTCTACCCCCGAAATGTGACGTGTTACTACAGGATCGAGCACCGACAGGTGCCGCGTGGCAAGCACGCCATGTTGGCCGTCAGACAACGGAACAGCCACAAGATCCACATCAAGGACCAAATCGTCAAGTACGACCGCAGCCAGAGGGTGCTGAGGTGAGTGAATGCGTGGAGTTGTGCCTCCACTCACCGGACGGCGTTGTAATGGTAATACTTGAGGTTTGAATTCGGGATGTTCTCGGGCTGGACACCGGCTACTCTCAGTTTTTTTCGTGGTTATCCACAGTCACTTAAGGCGAAGAACGTTGAAATTGTCCACTACCGCTTCCTTCAAATTCCACCCCCGGACACAAATTTTCTTTCTTTAGAATAAGCAAACATTAAAAGCACTGACCATCGACTTGGTGCCTTTCAGGGTTCTGAAGGATTGTATAACGTAAATATGTTGTAGGAAGGCTCGTACTGAGGTGAGTCGCGTTGTCAACATGAAGATGGAGGCAGCGCTTTCCTCCGAATCTTCGGTCGCCTCAAGTCTATGTCCGATTTGTGGTTACTTATTTAAAGACGCTGTCAGTAGCTGCACTATTTAGCTTCATGTGGCAGGACGTTAGATGCATGATGAATTGGAAAGGACCAGAAAGGAAGCAGTCATATTGGAATTGACGTACCATCGTGGCATTTTTCTGGGGTGACTGAGGAAATCCACGAAAATCTTCATTCAGGGCAGCCGGTATACCGACCGAGATTGCAAGCCTAGAGTGATACCTCTGCGCTAACCCACTCACTATCACGGTCTCGCTTCCCAAGGCCACAGCAGGAATGTAACCTGCGAGAACCTCGTGTATTGCGGAAATTATGTGTTGCTGCAGCCGACATTTTGTTTTCCACTTTTCTGTAAAGGAAAGAAAAGCGTCCACGATTTCCATTCTCTAAAAAAAAACAAAATTATTGTGGAACGTTCAGAACTATTATCACCAATAACTAGAATGAGATGGATAGGTCATGTAACACGAATATTGGAAATTAGGAATGCATATAGGATATTGGTTGGAAATCCGGAAGAAGAAGAAAGACCGGACGTAGGTAGGTAACATTAAAATGGATCTTGGAGAGATAGGATGGGATGGTATAGATTGGATTGCTGTGGCTCAGGATAGAGACCAGTGGAGGGCTCTTGTGAACACGGTATTGAATCTTCGGCTTCCATAAAATGCTGGCGAATTCTTGAATAGCTGCACAACTGGCGGCTTCTCAAGAAGAGCTCAAATCCATGGGGTTAGTTTAGCTAGTGTTGTCTCCATCTCAGACGTTGTCAAGGCGGCCATGTTCGTGCAGTTGGTTACAGGAGGTCTGGAAACCTTCTGTCTTGACGTCCGTAATGAGCTGGGTGCTGTAGATCGGTTAGTGTCTGTATTACCGATGTCATGGGAGGGGGATGAACAGGCAGACAGACACATCTCGTTTGGAATCACCCGGTCGGTGTTCAGTTGTGTATTCCTCTTAATTTTGCTGATGCTCGTCGCATGTGTTCTGAAGCACCCTGTTGTTCCAGGGTGTGGGACCAGTGCAACGTGGTGCAGGACTACCTGACCGTGTACGACGGCAGTGCCACGACGGATCCGGTGCTGGTGCGTCTCTGTGGAGGCGACGTCGTGCCCGACATTGTGAGCAGTGGGCCCAACATGCTGCTCGAGTTCCACACTTCGCCATTCGACAATCCCTTCCACCCTGTGCCACTCAGCTACTTGCCGGGATTCGAACTGGAGGTGCAGGTAGGTCAGCACTTGGTACCGCGGATACGAGACAGAGTCAGTAAACCGGTCACAGATGGCAGTAAAACAGCTGTACTGGACATAGTAGTTTCCTATGTGTATCACTAGGTAGCAGCACAGCCCAGCTTCATGTCAGTTCAGGTGGCAGACGCGCATGCGCATGTTCAGAGGCTGGTTTCAGTAGTCAAAATGACAGTGCTAGTGGACTGTACTACTAAACAGCAGCCTTCTGTTGTGCTTTTTGTGGGCAAAAAATCTCAGTGCGAAGGATATTCGTAAAGAAATGTTTGCACTTTACGGTTGGAAGTGTTTGTAATGTGCGGAAGTGACTGAGACAACAGCCAAAAAATTTCTATTCTGCGGGTTTCGACGCAGTTGCAAAGCGATGGGGCACGTGTTGGTGGAGGATATGTCGAGAAATATATGTTTTTTTTCCAGGTCCGAATATCACATGTTTAAGGTTTTATACCCATTTGTGACATATTTACGGACTCTCCCTCCTATTATTGGGCCTGTTGTATAGAACATTCAGTATTATGAGAATTGGCAGTGGCAGTACAACTTTGTCCTCCACAAATCCCACTTGACCTAACCTGGGACCGAATTTGGTCACCGGGGTGGAAAGCCTGATAAATAAGGCACAACCTCGCGTTTATTCTCTCGTGTGTCTGTGAGACACTTGTCCCACTCATGCATGCGTCACTGAATCAATCGGCTGTCAACAGATTGCCCATCCGTCCGGTCATCTCCCGTTGCAGCCATTAATCTGATCATCTGAGAACCCACGTGTCTGTCTGCCCACCGCTACTGAAACCGATCCATCTGTCATGAAACCTTCAGTTCACCAGTCCTTAAAGCAATCCATGCAGCCAATCATCCCTGCATCCGTCCTGACTTGCCCTGCGCACTGTGTTCTTGCTGCAAGCAGACTTTCCGTCTCACCTCGGAGGAAGTCGATGGAACATGAGTTATATATATTATTGTCACGTGTTGGGTATGTATCACGCTACAAATAACTTCCGCCGTGTTGGATATAGCGAATTTATTGCACTCGCTCTCACAATTGCACAATTACTTCTCCTGTAGTTATTTCCATTCACTCCGGCGAATGCTAGACTGCAACTGACTGGTTACTCTCTCTCTAGTAACTGGCTCACTGCTCCTTATTTAGGCTCGGAACGGACAACATAGAGAACACCTTGCTGCTGGTCAACAGATATCAAGTATTGTTGTCAGGTGTTTCTACCTACGCATTGCCGAGCAATTGTCGCAGCACGGAGTCGCCTGTTGCGTGACGTCACAGCCTCTAGGGGAGGGGTGTTCTTTTTTTGGGGGGGGGCTTATTAGTGTGATATTGACTCGGGAAGCAACCATATCCCGGACGATGAACGTGTACTCCTGCTTCTTATTTATACGAGCTTTTCTTTACTCCAGTAGATCCTATTGCAGAGATACATGGACTAGCTGTGCAGGATATACATAACCCATATGAAGTTTGAATTACCAACATCCAGTCCTGTGTGTGTGCAGAGCTGGGAACACAGCCAGATCCCCTGCGAAATATGTAGCAGCAAGCCCGCACGACATTACCATAAGCTTCTACAGTGTCACGTGAAGTGATTTCTACTCACTGAAACCTACCAAAGAATCTGATTCCCGGGTACGTTCAAATAAAGGAGTTCTTTGAGCGCTCAGCATTACACAGCGCATGAGACGGATCGGAATTCTTGTATTCTGGAACGCGTCCCGTTGCGAAACCACGGGTAGGCCCATAAAAGCGGTAATGTCTCAATTGATGTAGCGACGATCTATTGTCTGGACAGTCGGGTTTCGATTCCCGGCTGGACAAGACATTTTTCTCTACCCCGCAGAGTTCAAACCGGCTCTGGGGCCCACCAAGCCTCCTCCCCAGTGGGTACACAGGTTTATTTCCCCTGAGATAAAGCGGCCGGGGCGTGAATCTGACCATTTGTGCCGATGTTGTAATGTTGTGGTGCTTTATTAATTGGACACAGGGGCAACTTTACATATATGTTTACTGTTCTGTCAACAGTTTTTAAAATATTGCAATAAATACAGAAAAACAACCATTTTGAGCTTTAATTTTGGTGTAGGGGCATTTGTGTCTATTGCTGGATAGGCCTGCATGAGGATACAGTTGACTATGTCATGTTAAGTGTGAAGACGATGCTGAGGGGGGGGGGGTGTTAGGAAGACGGGATTTTCGTAATGCGTACACTTTACCATACATTCTTAAGATTGTCATATTAAATACGATGATATGGGTTTGGCATGCAGCACGCATGAGAATGAAGATAAAGTATGCTACCTGAATTTTAGTACGTAGACTGAAGGAAATATACCAAAAAAAGTGTGCATACATTGGAGGATAATATTAATATGGATCTTAAACAAATGAGATATAAGTATAGCGACTGGGTTCATCTGGCTCTGGATAGGAACCAGTGGCGGGCTTTTGTGAATATAGCATTAAAATTTTTGGTTCCATAAAAGCCAAGGGTTCATTTAAATATTTGGGTGACTGTTAGCTTATTAATTTTGTTTGTGAGTTAGGTGGGCATATTTAATGATGCTGTAGCAACTACATCATGTTTGAATGTGTCCCTATTCACCACGGCATGACGCGTCCTTATGTTGCGGGTGAACGAGACGGCGCCGAGACGTGGATGTTAGCTGCAGATTTATTAGCACCCCTACACACAAAATAGGGGGTTGTTTTTGTAGTATTTGAACTCTCCCCTGAGAAGTTAGCATCGTCATGTGCCCCTCATAGGGCACCCTGTTACATCCCTTTGTTCTGTATGTTCTTCCGTTGATGAGAGACCAAGTTTCACACCCATACAAACCAATAACTTAAATTTAAGTTTAAGCTTAAACTTGTTACATAGCAGACAGGAAAACGAAAGGTTCCGAACTGAATAACAGCAAGCATTCCAAGAATTCAGTTCGCTCTTAATTTCCTCATGAGGAGCCGGGATCGCGACTGGCTACGGGCTGGACGACCGGGAGGTCGGAATTCGAGTCCCGGTAGGGCCAAGAATTTTCTCCTCTCTAAGTGGTCCAGACCGGCTCTGGGGTCCACCTAACCTCCTGTCCAATGGGTACCGGGGGTAAAGCAGCCGGGCCGTGAAGCTGACCACTCACCTCCCAACTAGTGCAGAGATCAAGAAAATGTGATCTAGACATCCACTCCCCCATACGCCTTCATGGTGTATTGCTTAATTAGTTAGGCACAGGGACAGCTTTAACTTACCTTTACCGTAATTTCCTCATGAATCAAGTTTTGATTTGTTAGTGCCATTCCTGAATATCTGAACTTTGTCACGTTTCTACAGGATTCATTAGCTACCTTTGTGATATACTGTATATAGCTACTTGTCCCTGTGTTCTGTTCCTCGGCCAGTATTTATTGTTCACATTATGAAGACTTCCTGGAATAATAATTATCAAATTATATAGCCACTGGTAGCTAAATATACCACCTATGTGAACATCAGAAAAATCCTAAGTTTTGACCACACAATATAATTTTATGTTCTGTACAATTATTACGATAAGTATGCGTTGTTCTTTCCCTAAACAGAATTAACCGTTTAGTCTCTGTAAGGGACATGCGGTGTTTCCTGTGAGGTACGAAATTAAATGTAATATATTATTTACATGTGTTTAATGCTTCGAACAAAAATGACACAAGCAACCATATATCATTTTTCGCATCTTCTGACTAACATGGGATGTTCATGTTGGGCCCAGTGCTGATGCCTCATGGCAGCTGCACTGCAGACAGCTCTCGCTATCTCGGTTCGTGTTTCAAAGTGATAAGTGTGTAGTTTTTCGTTATGTGCACTTGAATATGAAGGTTAGGATTTTGAGTTGTGGGGGCCCCGGGAAAGTCAAAATGTACGAACCCCTATCAGTAAAAATAAATTTAGGTTGTCAGTTTCTGTTGTCTTTCTCCTTATTTATTATAATAACTAAAATTACAAGCCAACTTTTCGTGATTTTATACAAACAAATGCCTCGATGAAATCTGTAGATTTGTATTTCTGTTCTGTGCAAGCACCTCCCCCCCCCCAAATCCAACCATGTTTTCTGTTGGGCCACGTTTGCACGATGTATTGTCCAGCATGATCTGACATTTATATCCGGATAATTCTGCGTGAATGGCAGACATTCATTTGTCCGCTGATCAAGTCATCGGTGAATATCATGTGGATGACAGATACTCCCCACCCCCCTACACTTGTCAAGGTAATCCCCTCAGATCTGTCTGCATTTCCACTCGTATAGACGGGTAATCCCTCGCTCAGTCTAGTAAAACTTGCCAATTCATCAAGGTAATGCACCAAACGGGGAAACAAGGAATTGCTTTTCAGCTTTGCTTTAGAATTCGCAATTAATATGGTGCAGGTATGTCTGGAGGCACGGAGATGAAATTCGACATATCGATTTCTGGTCTCGTGCGCTGGTGATATTAATTTATTGGGGGAAGGCATGAAGATCATAATTAAAAACAGAAAAGCCCTATTAGACGCTAGCAAAGGCAGTTGATACAGAATAAATACAGATCCAACTAAATAAGTCCTCGCCAGAATGCAGGGCAGGATCATAACATGAAGACAGTTAACAGATCCTTTGAAAATTCGGGTATTTGGGGACGACAGTAACAAATTCGTGAATAGATTAAGGGCATGTTAAATTCTTGGAATGCTTGCTGGCGCCCACTTCAGAACGTTTCTCATCCCTTCTGCCGTCTAAAGATGTAAAAATTAAACTATACAAAATTTCAAATTTTCCACAAAATTACGGTCTTCTTCAGTAACGCCGTGTTGCTTGTTAGGTAAGTATGAATGTATCGGGGCAGCTGCTGCTCTATTTAGAGGAATGAAGAGGGTTTCATATTGAAATAAATTCAGAGGTTGTTACATAAGGACTATGACCACAAGGGTGCATTTACATAAAGAAAAAACTCATATAGTGAAACTCAGATGGCTTGGCGCCAAGACGAATTAATTGGCTGTAAACCGCCAGTCGTAAAGTAACTTAGACTCTGACTGACTCTTTAAAGGTTTAAAACAGATCTTAATAGAAATGGGGTATGGACTGGATTAATTTTGCTTAGTGGTGGGCTCTTGTGAGCACGGGCATGAACCTTGGAATTTCATAGGAGGTGGAGAACTTCCATGTGTCTGAGATAGCAATTGGTGAATGTCCTAAATATATCAGTTCAGTCTTGAGTACCCTTTTGACCCTGTAATCAGTGGAAGTGAGTGTACATTTCATATTCATTTGATTTTAAGAAATTTTCATTTGCCGTTTTAATCCTGTCTCTTCTCTTTTTGTCTTTATTTATTCATCAGAGTTTATCCACTCCCTCTTAGCTCTCGTTCATCATTCGTGTGCTTTTTGCTTCTTATCACGGCCGCTTTGATCCCTTGCACTCACTACGTTTTCATTGCTTTACTTATGTCATGATTTTCCACGAAGCATTCACCCCTCAAAGTAAAATAATGCTGACTTTCCTCTGCTGCAGGAAACTTGTTTTCATAATGAGGCTGTCTCTAGTGGAATGACGCGCTCTTTTACCAAAACGTTCAAAAGTTTTTAAGTATATTCTTAATGCACTGCAGCACCGTTTATTAAGCTACATTAAGTAAAGCAAGACAAGCCAGCAGGAGCCAGGGGCCTGGGTGTTTTGTGAAGGAAACGTTTTGCTTCATTTCACTCATCTCCTAATTCTGAAGGTGAAATTTAATTTTTCCTAATTTTATGTTTTGCTACCCTCTTGCAGACAGTTAACTACTTAACGCTGATAATTATCCCCTGAAAACATGAAAAATGTGCATTAGAGAAGGTCAAAATAAAAATAATATGACATCACGCATGAATGTCGGAAATGTCCAGTCAGACAAGCACAGCAGAAATGTCCATTGCTAGACAACACCTTGATAAAACACGTTTCCGCTGCAAAGAATAAGCTTGCATAAATGAAAGCTTTGCTCCGAATTAACACAAGATTCCGAGACAACGGATTCATGAAGAACAGGCCTGGAACCATTGGAGGCGGTGGTCACTGTGAGGTTCTCATTCGTTTATAAAAGACAGTGCAATTATCAGTATTTGAGTGCCCCGTGTGGAGGCAGGGTCGAATACCTCCACCGTCACCCTGCGAGTCATAGGAGACGACGAAAATGGAAGTCTCAAACTTGAGACAGTAAAATATGGCCGCGAGTCCCAAGGGACTCGGAACCGAGAAAGACTGCACTGGCAAGGGCCAGCAGCATATACACAGACCCGTCCTCTTGTTCTTGATACATTAAATGGTTAATCCTCTTCAAATCTTGTGGGCAGGGTTTGCTAAGGAGCTCACGTGTTGCGAGGGCTTCTTCACGGTTAAGGAAAGTCACTTTGTCGCACGGCTGTTCAGGGCCCGGTAGACGCTCCAGACGAGATCAAAGGAATTACAAACGCATATTACAGAGGCAGATATCACAGTGTAGGTCTCGTGCATTCGTTTCTGCACACGCCGCTGTTATGGCATCTTGAGGCGCCGAAAATGAAGCGCCTTGCCACTGAGTTGACGGCGTCAACCCTCCTCATCCGTCGCTACCTCCACCTCCTTGTTTCAAGCAATAACAAACCTGCGTGCAATAGAGCAGTGACCGCTAGGGAACGCAAACAGGCCACAAGAAGTAATTCGCTTTCTCTCCGTCCAGGTGGTGCTAGTGGACTCCCGCTCACACAGCTTCGTGAGGGAGGGTAGTCACTGCGAATTCCTGCTCACCAGCTTCGACTCATCGTGGGGCGTCCTGGAGAACCCCCGACATTCGCTCCCGCCAAACACAACTTGTCGTTACCACTTCCAGGGGCGACGCCACGAAACAGTGTGGCTGTCCTTCGTGAAGTACCATGCGGCCAGCGCAGATCCTGCGTCCTACGAGCTAGGAACGGAATGCAACGCTAGGCTGAGGATCTGGGATGGACGTATTGCCAGTAACACCGGCTCTCCACGTCAGCAGGTGAGCGCGCATGCGTGGAATTGGACACCTCCAGGTGTGACAGTTTTGTTACAGGGTCGACTCTGTACACTGTAAGATATATATATAAGTTACTGACGTTAAGCCCTTTGGAAATTTAATGGGGAATTATTAGTAAGAGACTTCGTTGAGGTACTTGACCTCAACAAATTGAAAACTTAAAAACAGATCCGTTGGATTTGAGGTCTTCACGGCACTATCTAAGAAGAAAATCATATTCTGCGGTGAGGCGCTCCGTAATGCGGTCGAAGTTTACCGAAGTTTCCTAGCAAGGCACTGCTTCCATCTTCAGGGTCGAAGAGTAAGCCAAGAAACAGATCAGTAAGAATAGGTTCTATTAAGCTACATGGTGTCACACCCGGACGACAGTAACTTCTCTGTACAGAATGAAGAAGGGTAAATTTTTCCTAGTTTTAATTAAGTATCGCGCCATGAACTAGAGAGCAGTGTAGGTATAGCTCCACGTGTTCTGTGCTCGGCACTAGACTGAGCGGCCAGCTTCGGATCCCGGCCGCTTTTCTCCAGATCTGTCATCTAGTTCAATATTTGAAAGGCAGGGCCCACAGACATACACGGATTATGATGTTTCCTTGAGGAAGGAGTTTGGAGTAAACATCTTATGGTTCCATTGAATATCACGTCATTAATATACGTGAGGAGTGGGGACACGAACTCGGTACTTAAGAGAACAGTGACAAGTCATCTGCAACTAACCCTTTGTCTCCCCCGGAAGTCTCGCCCCTTGCGCCCGATACATTAGCACCCCGCGCCACAGCCGTGTGACAAATTGTACCCTCTATTTTAATCAGAGAATCGTTGCTACGAGTTGGGTCTTGGCCTCAGCTTGTAGATTCGTACGCTAGGAGCGCTCGTGTCGCCGAGGGCGTCCAGTGTCGGGGAGATATAACATCGTTTGAGGGCAGAAGACATATTCCAGACTTTATTTGCCGACGTAAAACCAAGAGGACGCTACTTCGTTTCACATGAGACGCGTGACAGGACAGGATCTGCCCCCCTCATGATGACACTTGTGTTCCCTGCGTTATTCCTACGTCTGTCCGTCTGTCCGTCTGTACGCATGTAACTCCAGAACCCCCCAACGAATATTCACGCAGTTTGTTACCGGGTAAACCTTAAGTTAAAGAAGGTAAAGCTGACCCTGCGCTTAACTAATTAAGCAGCACGCCATGAAGATGTATGGGGGAGTGAAGTTACAGCTCCACCATTATTGATCACGACACTAGATGGAGGTTGGTGGTCAGGTTTACTCCAAGGCCGTTTTATCCCGAGAAAATAACCCGGTACCCATTTTATAAGAAGCTGGGTGGGCCTCAGAGTCGGTGTGGACGCAGTGTAGTAGAGAAAAGTCTTGCCCTTGTCAAGAATCGAACACCTGCTCTGTAGCCCGTCGCTATCCCGCCCTTTACTGGGTAGTGTTACAAACGGACACTTCACATGTAGAGACACGTAGCACGTAGACTGCCGATGGCGCAGCGCGGTTTCATTCATTCATCAGTTGCTCTACAGCCCTTTGTTGGGCCTTGGCCGCCTCTTCAGTTTCTTAAGCCTATACACAGTCAGTAGCACTCCTTGGACGGGGGATCAGCCCGTCGCAAGGCCGCTAATAGTTTGTCAGATATTATGTCTTGGCCGTCAAACTTAAGGTAAAGGTCTTCTGAGATGTGACACCATGTAGTGTGGTAGATGACTGACAAAATTTCGGAGCAGTTTTCTGCCTCCATCTTCAGGTTAGTAGAAGGTTGCTGGTAACCGGAATGCATCAGGGTGATCATCCGATTTAAATTTCTTAAGTATTGTCCTTATGTCCAATGTAGTTTGTAAGTGGGAGGGTGTAAATAAATAAATATTAAAAGGTACTTGCATGTTCTGACTTGTATCCTAAAGGTATCCGGTTCAAATCTCAGCTGGAACATCGAATATCTTGACTGAAGATTTTCACGGGTTTCTTCAGTCCTTCTATGCAAATTCCTACCTCTTCCTTCTTTAAGTTTCGGGGCTTCGTCCCTGCGCCGGCGCTTGGTTAGTTAAACAGTGACGCAGCTGAGTGTACATTCACAATGAAACCGGTCACTATAAAACTGAACTGAAAGTAAGCAATTATTTAACGAAACGTAAAAATAACGGTGACATTTTGAGCGAAAGTCGCCTGTTTTTGTTGTTTCGTGTCGAGGGTGCGGAAGTTGCGTGGGACGTGCCTTGTTCTGTCGCCCCGGCACGTTTGCGGTGACCGCTCTACGTCCCTGTTCCAGATGAACGTGACGCTGCTAGGGGAGTTCTGCAAGGACGACGTCCCTCGCCTGTGTGACCACAGCCTGCTGAGCAACAGCTCCCGCTTCACGCGTCCCTGCGCCCTCGCTGAGAGCTACGTCTCCTCCGGCCCTGAACTCACCCTCGAACAGTTCCTTCGGCAGGGCAGTGCGCTGTACCCCGTGAGCTTCGTGCTCCGCTACGAGTTCGTCGACACTTCGCTTGAAGGCGCCCCTGTCAAGGACTCGGCCAATCCGTGCGACAGAGTGTTCACCTCCTCGGCTGTCTCGCCGGCCACGGGGCGCTTCCAGTCCCCGCGGAGTGTCTTCTTCTACGGACGTGGCGGTGCCCAGAACTTGAGCTGCGTGCTACGATTCGAGGCTGCGCAGGGCGAGCGGGTCCGACTGACTTTAACGCGGGCGCGTTTCGGGGACAGACCCTGCATGTCGCGACTGGACGCGCGTACTCGCCGCTGGACGTGCGTCCTGACGAAAGCCAAGACGAAATCGCCGATGTCATGGTTAATGAACTCTGGGTTACCCGGCGTCTCCGAGCTCTGGGTGTCGGAGTATCCGTGGCCGGGTGTGCAACTGCCACGTGACTGTCTGTGCTCAAAGCTGACGGAGCCGCTCGTCATCACGACTCTGACGTCTTCCGTCGTGGAGGTAAACTTCACAGTGACGTTTATGAACATCACACAGGATTTCTTTGATTTTTACTTTGAGGGGGAGTATCAGTTCCTCAGTGGGACTGATGTGGATGGTGGGGTGTGCACCACGTCAAGGGAGGAAAGGCGGTTGCGCGGTTCTAGCGGGGAAATCGCCCTCAGGAGCCCTGTGACACGCAAGGGCATCCTTCAGGACCCTACAGTGGTTCAGGAGCTGCGGGAGGAAGACACTGCACGTGACAAGGACACCAACAGCGTGCAGTGTGTGAATCACCCGTGGCTGATCGAGCCAGAAGATTCTGTAAACAACTTTCTATATCTCAAGATACGTGGGTTCGAACTCCCGTCTTCATCAGCCATGACGAAAAACGTTAATGATGCCGGTGTGTGCCCGACGCAGAACCGGATAGTGGTGTACTCTGGTGTCGACACCCGGGACCCCAAAGTTGTATGTCCAGCCGAGACAGTAGGAGCAGAGACCACTTCCAAGGTTCAGGTAGTGGAGGTGTTCTCGGACGGGTGGAACCGAGTAAACAAAAGCGGCGCTGGCCTGCTGCTTCTGTCCCCACACGCCAGAAGCTTTGTGGTCGAGTTCCTGGAGAGGGAACCTGGGAGCTACGCCGTCACCTGGATGGAGGTGTCCAAACGCCCGCTGCTCACAACCTCCAGCCCCTTCGCAATGTCCTCATTAACCACCCCTCTAGAATGTTTCTACAGGTAAGTGACCCGTCTTGCACTATCTGATTCAAACAAACGGCGTGCTCATGCGCAGTGGAAAGGTCTGTCACGTGATAGAGATTTAAACCAATCACCTCCAGTTTTGAAATACCTAATATCTTATTTCTTCCTTGGCCTTCACAGCTCAGTACATTACAACAAAATATTTTTGGTGGTTGTATTGTTTTAGGGGACTTTTACTGTGTTCCTAACAATTTAGAAAACATAGAGCCGATAGCGTAGTCGGTATAGCGACTGGCTACGGGCATGACAAGTTCGAGTCCCGGTGAGGGAAAGAATTTTTCTTCTCATGTTCTGCAGACGGGCTCTGAGGACCACCCAGCCTCCTATCCGATGGGTCCCGTGGGCTTTTTCGTCGGGAGAAAAACTGCCGAGGAGTGAAGCCGACCACTCACCTCCAACTAGTGCCGAAGTCAAGAAAATGTGGATCTATATATACACGCCCGCATACGCCTTCATGGCGTAATGCTTAATTAATTAAGCACAGGACAACTTTACCATTTTGCCTTAAGCATAATCTAAAAATTCTGGCGCGTTATTTAAATTTTGTTTAATTACAAATAAGGAAGTTTGCTGCAAAGATTACTCGAACATGACACCTGCGCTTCATTTTTCCTTACGAGTTTTGTTTGGAACATTTCCTGCGCCGATAAACCTTCAGCGAGTTGCGCTTCAGGTAGGCGCACTATCGCGCTCAGATCTTCGTGTCAAGCGTCCGTCGCTGTTTCCCGGTTTAAACCGAAACCGGGAACTGTCATCAGGTTCTACTGAACCCCAGTTATGAAGGCTCGGGATTTTTCACGGCTACAGACGGACGCACTGACAGACACGCATCTCGACGCCAAGTAGATGCATTTATGTTACTTTCCCTTCGAAATACGCAACAATTGGCGACACGTAGAGCAAGAGTCAGATTACGTACAAAGAACCGCTCATGTGATATACAGGGTGTTTCACCACTTTAGGGCATAACTGCAGGAGGTGATTTCCTAGGGCTTTGTGATCAAAAAAGTTCATGTAAACATGTGTCCGATTTTGGACGGTTACGGAGTTATGACCGTTTTTTCATTCCCGTACACGCCCTCGTGTGAACCGCGTCTGTCAGCTGGCGGGTCGCTATCTTTAGCCAGCTACAGACAGAGCGTTCTCGTTATCTCGACACTTGAGAGGTACCTAAGGCGTGGCTGGTTGGTATGTCCGGCGCGGTTCACAACCGAGCGGCAGCCTGTGTTGCGGCCGGCGGTGGCATTTTCGAAAATCAGCTTTAAGCACCAATAAATGCAAATTAAAGGTAATTTCACGAAGTTAACTTTACATTCATACTTTAAATGTATCATGTATTATGCTGGTTTATTATTTTGTTCCGTTTATTGTCAGTAATCGTTACCTTCTATTCTGAGTTTGAAACGGTCATAACTCCGTAACCGTCCAAAATCGGACACATGTTTATATGAACTTTTTTGATCACAAAAACATAGGAAATCACCTTCTGCAGTTATGCCCTAATGTCGTGAAACACTCTGTATATGTCTGTCAAGGGTCACTTTTTTAATTCTATATACAGTCGGTAGGTCTCCTTGGACAGGGGATCAGCCCGTCGCAAGGCCTATACTCACATACACAGCACAAAAAAAACAGAATAAATGCAAACAATACAGGATTCGACCCCACGATCCCAGCGTTCGAGCGAGGAAAGACAATTCGTGTCTTAGACCTCGCGGCCTGTGTAATGTTGCCAAGATGAAATAGTGCATTGTTGGTGCTTATGTAAGGTCAACATGGCAACCTTGTACTGGTGGAGTCAAGTAAATGTTAACGCCCTACATAAGCCGGGGTTTTGGGTTCAGAATGCCCTCAGTTGGAGAGCCTGAGGAGAGCTCAAGGTTTCACCATTCCCGTTGCAGTTGTGAAGGAGTGACACGTAATTGCCTCGCATCACACATTGGAGGCTTTCCGCGTTATTTCCGTCAATTTGACCCTTAATGCTAGCTCGGAGTGGGGCGGGGGGTTGAGTCGAAACGAGACACATAAGATGGCACTGGGTAATTTCATCTGGGAAGTGACCCCGTGTACGGCTTGTTTAACGACATCTAATAGTGGAATGAATTTGAAAAGTTGTGGAACAAATGGGTTCTGGTCTTACATTACAGGCAGATAGTATTGTCACGTGTAAGGGGTTGGCGTGACTAATAATAATGGGTTCTGGTTTTCATGATTGGATGTACAGTTGATTATAACAGCTCACACATTAAACTCCTTAACGACATCTCTCTGAAGACTCTCGGACCCATCTCTCACTGAATGTGAACCTCTGGAATTCACGAATCCCCTGCCTCTTATAGCCGCCTCGCTGCCGGGATAGAAGTCTCCTCTGTTCTGTCGTGTTTCAAAGGAGACTACCCTTGTTAACATTCGTTGCAGCGGAAACAAATGTTGGATTTTTGCTGGAACGTGTGTACTGAGTCGTTGCTAGAAGCGGGTATGTGTCACAATATAGCGGTAGAGACGGGGATAGCTCAGTCGGTATATGGATAGGCCACGTGCTGGATGGTCCGCGTTCGATATTTCTCTCTTTTCAACAGCGTCCGAACCGACCCTGGGGTCCACCCAGCCCCATATACAATATGTACAAGGAGCTCTTTCCCCAGGGGGTAAGGCGTCGTGGGTATGTACCTAGACCACTCCATCTAGTGCCGAGGTCAAGTAAGGTGGAGCTATACCTTTGCTCCCCCATACGTCTTCATGGCATGGTGCTTAATTAATTAAGCACAGCGACAAATTTTATGTAGCGGTACTTATTTCAAGAGTTGCATAAAAGAATCCTATTTTGAAACTACCCTTCGGGTCAGAAATATTTGGTCTTTAGATACCGAAATTTCGCAGTGAGGTCAAGAGAATTTAATTATGTGATCTTTAGCCTGTGAGTTGGTCAAACGTCTGCATACAGATGCGGTGCATGTGGCTTTAATCATGGCGAAGTATCTCGTTTCTGTGAATGTATGCGGTTCGCCCCGATCCGTTGCCATGGAGCTGAGAAGCACGGCCTCCTGAGATACGAATCTGCCTGTTCGGTCAAGGGTGATAGCAGAATGCGCCCCATTCCACTGCGCATTGATCTACATGAATACTAATGAAGTTCCCTTTGTTGGTGCTGCCCCACGTGAGCTGTTGTGCAGGTCTTGCGATCCCAGAGCGAGACAGCGCACCAGATGTTATATAGATCGCTGATAAACAAACAGTGGACAGCTAGAAGTGCGCGCGCCATTAGGGAGTTACAATGCATTCGATGTTAATTATATAAGAGGAAGTAAAAAAAATCTAAAAGTTTTTTTAATTCTAGTACAAAACGAGGCATTTTGTATCCGAGTAGGTTGGCTAGGCACTAAAGCTCGTATTTGGGAAGGAATTTTGGACAGGTCAGAGCAAAACCAGACCGTGAGGCTTGTCGTGGTTTTCCTAATCCCTCCCAGGTAGGTTCTGCGGTAGTACCTCGCTTACTTCCCAAATCCTTCCCAATTTATCATTCATGTGTTCTCCCCAAACTCGGAGGCGTCGTAAAGAAAGAAGTGAAAAATGAGTTATTATTATTATTCTACAGGCCTTTGTTGGGCCTTGGCCGATTTTCAATTTCATGAGCCTATAAGCAGTGTTTCTCAACCGCAGGGCCGCGACCCATTACCGGGCCTTCGTCTAATAAAAAACGAATATACCGGGCCTCGGTCTCAAAAAGATTGACAACCACTGCTATAAGCAGGCGGTAGGACTCCTTGGACGGGGATCAGCCCGTCGCAAGGCCGTTACCTACACACGGTATAAACGTACAGACACATCCATGCGTTGAGTTGGATTCGAATTCAAGATCCCAGCGTTCGAGTGGGGCAAGACGGTTCATGGCTTAGACGGCGCGGTCACTGTGACCGGCGAATGAGTGATTAGTGAACAGAAAAAAATACAAACACGTCGCTATGCTTAATTAATTAGCAGGTCGCCAAGACGTGTGTGTGTGTGTGTGTGGGGGGGGGGGGCTGAGACAGGCCTGCCGCCTCGCGAGCTCCCTAGCTTCGGCACGTAAACCAGCTAACGGCGATTTTAAATGAAGGCTTAGCGACGTGTTCTATTTTTGTTCATAATTTTGAAGTGTAATGACGTCCACTATAATAATGTTATTAACACAAGCACCCGTTATACAAGCCGTAAATGTCGCGGGTTCGATTCCCGATGAGGTAATTGGATTTTTCAATTGAGCCGCCACTATGACCCTGGGGTCGACTCAACCTCTAACAGAAATGAGTACCAGGAATCTTCCTGGGGGGTGAAAGGCGGCCGGCGCGTAAGGCTAACCTCACTGCCATCTGTGACCCGTCTAGAAAATGTGGGAGCCTCGAAGTCTCACAACCGTATGGGTCTCCAAATCCTGTTACAGTGATAGCTTTCCCTTTTTTACCAATTCTTTCTCCGGGGTATGTTCCCCCCCCCCTTCGCACTACGGCCCCAGTGGGCCTAGGCCTACCTCCATGAACTTCTGCGTTCACTTCGGTTTTTCTAGATCTTACACATTCGGTGGGACTCCTTGGGCGGGTGATCAGCTCGTCGCAGGGCCTATACCTGTACACAAACACAGAAAATCGCACACACACACACACACACTAAACATCCATGCCCTGAGTGGGATTCGAACCCACGATCCCGGTTTCCAAGAGAACGAAGACAGTACATGCCTTAGACCGCTCGGCTACCGTGACCGGCTGGTATGGTTGTTTACCTGGACAATGTCACGATGTATAGCAGATGAGCATGTAAAAAGGAATGACGCTAAAATTGAGAAATTTCAAGTTTACTCGTGTAAGTAAAGACGAAGTCTGGGAATGAGGATTTGTAACGCACAGTAACACTTGTACACCCCTGTGACATCTGTCTCTACCGTACATAACTGACTGATTGGTAAATTGCCGCAGGTCCTCGCCAGCACAGTGATTATTTGTTGCGAGTCCCACGGGACAGACTGCCATATTGTACAGCCGGCTCTCGGGAGCATATACAGCACCCCTACATATTGTTAAGCCAACTAACACCATTGGGTGTTTTCTGTTAGGTCCGCGGTAAGGAAAACTTCTTACACTGAGCAGGCTATCTTAACGGTGACGCTCTAGACTTGCATTCCGGGTGTGCTCGGTTCGAATTACGGTCGGAACACGTGCTACACCGACTGAGTTGTTTCGCACGTTGCCTCAAAGAATTTCCAAGGAAATTCCTGGATAGCACCTCGATTAAATAAGACTGACTCCTTCCAAATCCCTTCCAATTCACCCCTCATCATACCTTTCGGCCATATACTGAGTCTGATGTAAGGTGACTGGTCTCCTCCCATGCATGCTGCATGTGCTTTCCATCTCGACAAGAAGCTCCCCATTGTGCAGTGTGTAACAGACTGTTTTGCCGACAGGTGCCCGGAACTGAACGCCTGCATCAGTGCTGCGCTCTGGTGTGACGGGTCGCGACACTGTCCCTCGGGTTTCGATGAAGAGGAAGCGAATTGCGCCTACCAGTTCGGCATCCCCCTGCTCTACGTCTCCATCGGTGCAGGAGCTCTGGCCGTCTTGGCCCTGCTGATCGCAGTGTCTGCCTGCGTAAAGTACGGAAGACATCGGCGAAACGAACGGAAGAAAAAGAAGAACAGCAGCAACAATGCGAATCACCTGCACGTGAATCACTTGCACAACAATGGCGACACAGTGGGGAAGCGTTACCCCTCTGCGGCTGACGACATGTTCCTAGACGGGAAGGACTCTCTCTGTTGACAAAACGTTGTTGCTATGGAAACGACAGTGTGACGTGTTTATATAGCTCCACGAACATGTGGCAGGTGGATCTCTTACTGCTATGAAACCACAGCATGCTAATGCTCCTAAACCTGTATTTTACTCAAGTTTCTATGCCATTTTGTGGCGGATTTAAGATTTTCACAGCGACGACTGTGACGTCATGTAGTCTGGTAGAAGTTTATTGCTGTTTCGGTGGAACATTCTGCCTCCATCTTCAGTGCCAAAGAATAAGCCAATCGACCAATGACATGTTCATTGAGAGTGAAGACGAAGCGATTTTCTCCGAGATACCGGTGAATTTATACCAGACTACACGACGGCACACCCCAGAAGATAGTGTAGTACAAGCGATAGTGTTAGCTATCCCCACGGCTCAAGCAGTTTCTGCAGAGAGCTTCTGTTTCCATGGAAATGCTGTCCGCCTTCAGAGGTTTGGCTGTTATGAATCAGGAATACGTACTTGAAGTGTTTTTCTTCACCTTTCAATCTTTATTCGAATGGAGCACATTGCGTCAATGCGTGTGGACGTTCTTTTGGAATACCTGAAGGAAGAAGAACCCTTGGAAGAGCTAAGTATAAATGGGTGGATGATATTAAAACGGATCTTCAGTCGTGCGTGAAGGTGTGGATTGGATTAATTTGACTCATAGTATGGCCCAGTGGCGGACTCTTGTGAACACGATAAAAATAACTTTGGGAGGCATTGAAGGTGTTGAATTTCATAGTTGAGCAACTGTTAGCTTTTCACGGACTCAGCTTAATGCACTTATTTGCTTAAGATTTAAAATAATTCGTGTATAACTGAATCACGGCGAGCAAGATTCATAATATTGTATTTTGTGTTTTGACACCGTACAGTCTGGAAAGTGAATCCCAATATTTCGGAAGAACACGCAGCCTTAGTCTTCTATCCGGAAAGGCTGCAATGCCGTAAACCAAAAGACGAGAATATGTTTCTTTTCTGGCTATATAAAATAAATATTTTAAGACAGTATTCCATTGCTATACTAACGGTCGGATGCAAATGGTGCGCATGCTCACTGGTTAATATAGTTCGTAACAACCAATCACCTTCAATCCAGCTCTCAAAGTATGGATTTGTCTCACAAGTCGATATGTTGCTTAATAACGATGCATGGATTAGTAAATTCGATTTCTTTGTTACTGAGGGCGAAATTTGTGTAACCCTCAACTTATTTCTATCCTGGAATGGAATGACACATTACAGGAAAGTACTCAGAAAATTTCGTATGTCTATAAACAATAGGGAAAGACGTGTTATCAATTTTTACCGCCTGTCGTATTTTTAAACAAGTGACGTAAACCGAAAAACAGAGAGATAAAGTGAAGCTTGTTCAATTTTATGTAATATTAATATTCCAATTTAATGGATGTCAGTAGTCTATTGTTTTCTTTAAACATGGCGTCAATAACAAGTGACAGATGTGTCTCTTTCAGTGTTACCAACCGTTCATGATGTAATGAAAATACCTCGATAATGAAAAAAAAAAAGACGACGCCAAGTGTGTGATGTCAAATGAACAAAATGGCGAACTGTGGAAACAAAACAGTGAAGTCGGTATTGAGTGACGTCATACAAACATGTCGGTCCTCTTACGCGTGGGTAATCACTAAACAAATAAAAAGAATTACAGAGTCGTCATTTCCTGTTGTACATGAAAGAAATTAATGTTTTTTTTATAGCACAGATGAAATAATTCTCGTGGCGTGTGCAATTGCCACTTACTCTTTGCAGTCTGAAACTCATCTAAATAGTATTTAGATGTTCAGTCTTGCTTCCAGGGAAACACAAAGCACCTCATTCACAAAGAACAGTCAGTTAGTGTTGTTTACGGGATGGAATCGCTGTTTATTGTGGGACTCATGCCGATGAAAAGATTTATATGCTTATAACATGGCGAGGAAAGACGCCTAAACATATTTGTACCACGAACGAGGCCACTGTTCCGTCACTGATTAAGTACGATATCCGCCACTGCAGACAGGACAAGTCCCAGCTGAAACATATCACTTGAAATTCGGTTGTTACTGAGAAGTGATGTCTTTAATTATCTTTCAGCATGCAACCGGAAGTGACGCCGCTGCAATGCGTATTTACTTGTTTAGCAAAATTGTTTACTCAGTGACATGATTTTTTTTTGAGCAGCGTGTAGTGTAATTTTTTACACGTTTTTGAAGTGTGTAAGTGTTGTGACAGGAAGCAATACTGTTCTTGCTCAAAACTTCCCGCTTGTTCTCATCTCCCGTCAGTATTTACGTGACGTAACACGACTGTGTAGAATTTGTGTGACTTTATACAGAGAAGATAAAGAGGATTGCAATTTTTAAAACAATTTCTGACATTCCAATGTATCGAGTGTTACGATATTTTTAGTGGTGAGCCATTTGAATGCTGCTCCGAGTTTTCCTTTCGAGCGCGCACTCAAGCAGGTAGAGTCGGACACTCCTCCTGTCAACTCGGGCCCGCCCATAACGCTCACGGCTTCTCTGTGTAGAGACCTCACTTTATGGCGAGACAAAACAGTGGTAAGAATCTGGGTATGTGAAGTGACTGGAAATGTTTGTAACCAGTCCGAGTAGGTCATTAATTTCACCGAAGATCTGGAATAATGGTCCTTGCTTTGAATGAATTTTGCTATGAGAGAATTATGGTATAAATAACATACATACATATTCACCGGATCTTCCGTGTTTTAACTCACCTGTTCCTCATGTTTTCCGTAGTTAAATCAACTTAACAGGCACAAAGACAGAGCGTTGGGTGTTTTTAAGATGTTTTATCAAATAACAAATTCCTCATTCTGAAGGACAGCGACAGTGGGGGTTTCTACTGATATTTGGAATTTATTCGTATTTATGGTCACTTTTTCCAGTCCATGATGTTTCGAAAAGTGGTTCTGTTTCCTTTTTCAGGTGAAAGCATACAGTACTGATTCATTCCAGGCAATAGTGCGCCATGAGTATTCCCAAGACCGGAACATAAGGTTCTAGAAACGTAAGTGACCTGAGGGAGGTAACTTCATAAAATAAATATGCCATGAAGCATAGACCTAATGGCTAGCCACGTTGTAGTATGCTCACAGCGGTTTAGTCTTCAAACGGTTATTATGTTCCGCCGTAAGCATTTTGCACATTTCTCCTTGTTTCAGGCAAAATATCCAAGTAAAATTTTTCGAGTCCTCACGCCTTTCATTATACATAATTCCTATTATTATTATTATTATTATTATTACGTGTGTGTCACTGTAGACGGGGTTTTGGATAATTACATTTTGTTGACCACGTATACACACGACTCATAAGTACAAGCAGTCACAGCACCCACTAATCTCCACAGCTCACAAATCACCACAGCACCCACTAATCTCCACAGTTCACAAATCACCACAGCACCCACTAATCTCCACGGTTCACAAATCACCACAGCACCCACTAAGCTCCACGGTTCACAAATCACCACAGCACCCACTAAGCTCCACAGTTCACAAATCACCACAGCACCAGCTAATCTCCACGGTTCACATATCACCACAGCACCCACTAATCTCCACGGTTCACAAATCACCACAGCACCCACTAATCTCCACGGTTCACAAATCACCACAGCACCCACTAATCTCCACAGTTCACAAATCACCACAGCACCCACTAATCTCCACGGTTCACAAATCACCACAGCACCCACTAAGCTCCACGGTTCACAAATCACCACAGCACCCACTAAGCTCCACAGTTCACAAATCACCACAGCACCAGCTAATCTCCACGGTTCACATATCACCACAGCACCAGCTAAGCTCAACCAACTTGTTTTTTGTTTAATAATAAAGAAAAATGCGTGGCCGGTTTATCGACTTCACTTGAACAGATCTGTCTCGTGTCTCACAGGCGATGAATCACTTCGTAAGGAGCGTCCAGGAGCACGAAGACGGTGCGTGTGCGTGGGTGCGTGCGTGCGTGTGTGTGATGTATATCCCCCACAATAAAATTATTTTGTACAGAAGTAAATGTGTACCTTTATTCAATTGTAATGAATAGATTTAGTTTAATTGTTTACAATATATTAACAGCTCTGTTTGATGAATTTAAGCAGAGAAAAACTTGAGAAAAATACGTAATGATGAGCTTCATTATTAGTATGGTACACAGAGATACTGGAGGGTTTTCGGGCTTTGGCCATCATCCGGATTCTAAATAACTAAGAGAAAACACGACTTTTCGGAAACTGGATCTGTTTTCGTCATCAGGTCCTGAGGGACCCAACAGAGTAGGTGTCTTCCTTCACCTAAGGACGGAAACAGATACGTTTCCGAAACGTCGTGTTTTCTCTTAGTTATTTAGAATCCGGACGATGGACAGTATGTCTGTGTGTTATCACCACCGTCAGAACCCTGTAGTATCAACATAGTACGGTGTTCAAACCAAGGACGACGTATATAGCGCACGTGGAAGAGAAAAGGAATCCATTCAAAATTTTGCTTGGAAAAGCTGAAGGAAATAGACAACTTGGAAGACATAGACTTAGATGTGATGACACTATTAACATGTATCTTAAATAGGGTGTGGATTGGATTCATGTGGTTCAGGATAGGGTCCAGTGACGGACTGTTGTGATCACGGTAATGAACGTTCAGGTTATGTAAAACGTTCGGATTTTCTTCACTAAGTTGTTGGTCGGTTGGTTGGTTGGTTAGTTAGTAAATATCTAATGATGGTGTCTTAAGATAAATATTTTGGGGACTGTCCATTGTCTTGAGACTTTTAAGATAACGCGTTTCAGAGGCAAGATCTGTTTCCATCATCAGGTAGCTATAAGCGAGGAATATTCTCTACTCAGTTTGTAGGATTTGAGGTTATCACAACGGTTCCGAAGGACACTGTGTTCTCCTTGCCACCTGCTTCAACGCTGGTTTTTTGCTCGGCTTATTATTCGTTCTGAAAATGGAAACGATATGTTCCTTCAAACATCCGTTGACTATCAGCGGACTACAGAAGATAGTACCTTTCCGTTAGGAACTGCTAGCTCATGGACCCTAAGTACACCAGATCAAAAGGAGGGGCCTCTCCTTCTCTGCACCTGATGATAGAAACAGATCCCGTCTCCGAAATTCGGTATCTGAAAAGAAATTTTTTTTTCTTGGTACTACAGCCCCAGTGGGCCTAGGCCTACCTCCATGAACTTCTCCGTTCACTTCGGTTTTTCTAGATCTTACACATTCGGTAGGACTCCTTGGGCGGGTGATCAGCTCGTCTCAAGGCCTCTACCTATACACAAACACAGAAAAACGCGCACACACAAACTAAACGTCCATGCCCTGAGTGGGATTCTAACCCACGATCCAGGTTTCCAAGCGAGCGAAGACAGTGTATGCCTTAAACCGCTCGGCTACCGTGACCGGCATTGTAATATCCCTGTATTCCCAAATGAGTGGAGTGGCCGTTGCAAGTAACGTGGAAGGTTCCTTCTTGCCATGGTCAGTGGATGTCAGTCGGTTCCTTAAGCAAAGAACCTGGATAGCTGTTAAAACATGTTTCTACGCTCAGTTCCTATTCCTCTCTCCCCCGTACTTATTGCACGAGGTTTGAGTCCCGATGTTGCAGGATCCTCCAAGTTATAATAATATGGAGGTCTTAACTAGCTGAGCGACTGATAGCTTCTCAAGAAGGGCGCTGTTCACTTGGAACTAATGAGACACGTGCGCTCTAAATTCCTCTTTTTTTAATGGAAAGGAGAATCGGTTTCCCACTAATGCGGCCTGGGTTCGAACCCAGGTCAGGTCATGTGGTATTTGTGGTGGACAAAGTTACATTGGGTTTTCTCCGAGCACTTCGGTTCCCCCCTGCTAAATATCTGCTCCACACTCATCTATCATCCGGGGATGATACAATAGGCCAATTAGTTGTCGACTTGTACCAAGTGGACTCAAGTTTCACCCCACCCCAGGAAACTAATAAAGAAACTAAAACCGAGAGGAGTGGGTGGTGAAGTTGAAGTCACAGACTTCCGGAAGCACAGTCGATGGCCGTCAGAGGAAAGGAGACATCGGTAGCATCTCAGATGGATATTCCGCAGTAGGGAAAAGGATTTGTGAATTATTAATTTCAGTGTTCCTTGCATGAATCACTTTTCCTTCGAAATTCATGGCTCCACCTTCATAGTCTACATAGAGTGAGGCTCTGTACCGCGCAGTTTACCGGAAGTAGCTGGAACCGTGTCCAGCTAGAGCAGTTTCCCGCTGCAGAACAACGGGCGAGTCTGTTTCGCCCGCAACTGGAATCGACCTCCCATCCATCACAGCAATTCGCTGTCAGCAGTTTCACAGTGACGTGTCCGTCAGGAACGGTGACACGGGCCCAGGGCCGGTCTAAATATAAATTGCACAGTTATCATTCTCGTCTTCGGAAAGCCCCACGCCCCTCCACATACAAAATGTTAGAATTGTGTCCATCGGGTAGTTGGGTCTTCTCCGCGGTGAATGGGATGTGACGCCGAATAGTCTGGTAAAAGTTTACCGAATTCTCAAAGGAAAGTAATGTCTTAATTTTCAGGATTGAAGACATTGTTAAGGAAGCAGAGGGAAAGTAGAAAGAACTGAGTTCTCTTAGTATATTTATTTACCCTGAAGTTGAAGGCTACACGCCTAACCGAAACGGCAATAAATCAAACTTTTAATTTAATATCATTGTGCAGCATGCTGTTTTGTTAATCAAAATTAACTTGAATGAATAACTTACCCTATCAACACGTAAGAAAAGTGCCAAACTTCCAGTTTAGCAATAAATTTTTCGTCACTGAATTTGCAGACGAAAAATCCTCTTCATTTTACTGGCAAGTTTACTGGTAAGAACTGATCTAGATGGCGGTGACTCATTCGCATTTCCTGTCTCTTTCTTTCGTAGCAGACGGACGATATCAGTTGTGCCAGTGCTAGGATTACGTGTGGCGTAAGAGTTGTGGATATTTGTTAAGTTTGTGTTTAGAAGAGGGAAGAAGATTCGTAAGAAGTATCACAAAGGTACAGTAGTTGAAAAGAAACAACTGATATATTACAATTTTCCTTGTATTTAAATTTTGGTGGAGAAGTCCTACAGTATTCACAATGATGGCGTGTATATTGTAGTCTGAGTGTCGTGTTTAATTTGAGAACTACGTAGGCTTGTGAAACTACAGTCTTCAGGGATGTGACGTCATGTAGACCAGTTAAAGCCAATCTATATTTCAGAAGAAGCTTCCGACCCCGTCTTCAGTGTAGAACAGTGTAGATGCAAATTGCCGGTTCCTGAAAGCCGTTTCCAACTTCACATCATGGCTTCACGTTTTAGAAAGCATTGACCTTGACACGCGCCGTGAGGACAAGCTAATCTGAGATGGTTTTTATTCGTTGCAGGTGTATACATTCATTTCCGTCGGTCTTTAAGTAAAAAATTGTCAGTTAAATTCGTGTTTAATATAGTAATATTTCATTTCAACTGACCAGTTGGCTTGACTATGACGTCATGCAACTAAGAAGACCGAACCATTCTGTTGACGAGTGGGAAGTTAGTGAAAATGGATAGCCCCTCATGTTCGCGTCGTTTTCCCAATATAAACACAGTATGCTGTCACAAACGGCAATGCTTCAGACGTACATCCAGAAGGTGATGGGTTCGAGTCTTGGCCGGGAAAAGAGGTAATCCTGACTAAAGTGTTTCGTGTTTTACCTCAACCCCTCGAAGTGAATTCAGTTTTAGTACCTCAAATGAGACCACGGGCGCCTCCTTCCAGTCCGGCTGCCCACAGCGTGCTTAAATAAACCACAAAAAGGTGAATATTTGTACTCAGGCAGATATTAACAAGTAAATTGCTTACTGATTCGTTGATGTGGGGCCCAATCGATAGACAGAAGCAGAGAATTGGAATTTGTATTGAAGAGTGGCACACTCGTCTGTGCTGATGCATTTGCGGTTAGTGCATTCTTGCTCTGAGCGCGATAAACCGTTGTTGGGGTTGAATTCTGTGGGTGCGAATCAGATGATAATGCAGGGAGCGAGGGGGGGGCTGGTGGCCAGTGTGCAGTTAGACACACAGAGCTCATGGATAGTCCACATAACCTCACCCTCTGACCCCTCGGTAACAGATACTAGTGACCACTACTTGTCAATAACTAGATGCATTTTGACAAAATTTGGCAGTGTAGAGTCACGATTTAGATTGACTATCGGTGGTCTTTCGGACTGGATGTTGGATTTGCTGACCACTTTAACACACAAGCAATTATACTTAATTATAGCGCCACACTTTACAGTCACTGGAGCACGCGCTAAATCTCTTCCGGGCGGCGGAAGCAGGAGGGTAAGCAGAATAAAATTGGGAAGGAAACAAAGAGCACGTGTTGTTTTGTCACTTCCATTCTTTGTTAGAACGCAATTTTTACCCCATTGTCCTCCCTGTATTCAGCTGACCCTGGAAGTGGGCATCATCTTCGTCTTCCTCTACTTAAAAAAAACTCCGTGGCCTGCAGTCCGCAAGCGAACTATACCAACCGAACGACCTCCGCTTGTCGGCGAAGTTAGTGCCAATTTTAGCGGATGTCGCGTAGTCAGCGCAACTAATCCCCACGGCCATTACATTCGGTTTTCTAGACCGGAGCCGCTATTTCCTTGAAATAGGTCCTCAATTATCACGAGGCTGAGTGGACCCCGTTCCAGACCCACTACTTGTCAGAAAAAAAATGGCAGCCGCGGGAATCGAACCAGGAACTCTGACCACTAGACCACAGAGGCGGTTCATCCTCTGCTCTTATCTTCATTGTATACTCAAGTTTCTGGAATCTGAGAGATTGTTTTTCTGTCCTCATCGCCAAATTCCTCACTGAATCCCCCTCATTCCGAAAGTGAGCAGGGCGTGTTTGTTATTTCCGATGCCCTGTCACTGGGGGACAAGAGGAATGTATGTAGGAGTTAGATGGGAAAGTCTCAAGGAAAGAGTCCACTAGGAAGACCTCGACGCAGATACAAATGTAAAGCTATCCCTGTAGGAGGCTGTAGAGGCCCATATGGTTGTGAAACTTCGAGGTTCCCACATTTTCTTGGCAGTGGGCTCACAGATGGTGGTGGGGTTGTCAGCCCTACGCACCGGCCGTCCTTTTCCCCCAGGAAGACTCCTGGCACTCATTTCTGTCAGAGGCTGACTCAACCCCAGGACCATAATCGGACTGGAAGGATTGGGTTAACTGAATAAACCCATAATATGACCTCATAGGATACCGCACCCGCCACCTTCAGTCTTCTAGCAGAGTGTCTCAACCGACTATACTACTGCGTGCCACCGACCTAGAAGGAGATTGGAGAATAATATTAAAATGGCCCTTCGATCTGTAGGATTGGGTGGTATGCACTCGGGTCATCTGGCTCAGGCTAGAGAATAATGGAGGCCCTTATGAATACGGTAATAAACCTTCGAGTTCAATAAGTTGAAGGGAAAGTCTTGAGTAGCTCAGCGACTGTTGGTTTCTCAAGAAGGTCTGAGCTCCACGGAGTTAGGTCAGTTAGTTACAGTCATGTCATGAACAGGCAGGGGCACGCGGTAGCGTAGTTGGCTGAGGCACTATGATACAAGCCTGAAGGTCGCGGGTTCGAGTCCCGATGAGGTTACTGGATTTTTCAAATGACCTATAATCCTTCCAACCGCACTATGGCCCTAACAGAAATGAGCACCAGGAATCTCCCTTTGGGTAAAGGGCGGCCGGCGCGTAAGGCTGACAACCTCATCACCATTTGTGAGCCAGTTGTCTAGAGAATAAGTGGGAGCCTCGACGTCTCACAATCCTATGGGCTTCAGCGGCATGTTACAGAGATAACTTAGCATCATTAGGCGCCCGTACCAACTTCTGAGGTGGGATTGTGTCTTGAAGAGTGCAACGAACAAAACATACAAACTTGAACCCCAGGATCTTTACTTCCGAATTTGAGCATTACGAGTTTATTTTTCTGTGGGCCACCGAACCTCGGCAGGTGATGGATGAATGATGAGTTGGTAAAGGTTGGGAAGGAAACGGTCGTGGCCTGATCGATATACACTCAGAGCATTTTCCTTCCAATTCCTCTCCAGTTCCTCACTTATCTTACCATTCTGCCATTTGGCTATATGTACTGTGACTATGCATGGGGCTTGGATTCATAATTAGATATATTGAACTCTTAAACAACTTGTGACTACACCATATAGATCACTATCACACACATAGACTAGTGTTTTCCATCACGGTCTTTATTAGCCGTTGATTGGTAGCGTCTTCCAACGGCGGACGTTCCCCTTCCTCTATGTTCCCGGACGGTCCACGACCTCAGCTACCAGCTTCACATAGCAACAGGTCACAACGACTGAACGGTAGCAGTCCTCTAACTAATTCACTCACTCACCGACCGACTCCACTTCACTGACTGGCTGACTAACTGTCCTGCTTATAACACCTCGGTACGGTGCGCACAGAAAGCATTGTTCCTCTGTCGCTGTTTACGTGACGTTACTTAGTAATTTTCGTTTGTTTCGCTTTTGTTGCCTAGCAATGGTTCACTTGCCACATCGTTCGGGGGCCGTTTTCCTGGCGTCAGAAATGGGCCTCGCCTTCCATCCCTGCGCCTCGGTGCTTGCGGTGATTCCTCTTCTACTCCCGCTACTCCCTTCTTAAGGCCGCTCGTCCTGAGCAATTCCCTGACAAGATGCGAGCTGGTCCAGGAGTACCAAAAGCATCCTCGATGGACGGTTCTCCTGGATCCTGTCCAGCACATCGTTTGTCTGCCATGACTGTTGGAGGCTGGATGGCTTTCATTCGGTCTGGATTTGACTACAGAATCACAGCTAGTCACGCTCCGTGCCAGGCGGGTTTGCAGTGCGCTTTCATTCTGTCGCCGGCGCCTTCCTCCAGGTGTCAACCTTGGCCTTTATCTTGCTATAGTCAACGTTCTTGCTATATATCTTCACATTACTCCGTCCAGGCCTGTGGTACGTGCTGCTCTGAGACACGGCCTTTGCTCTCCTTGCTTTGATATTAGGGGGTTGCGGCAAACCCACCCCTGTCTTCTTCATTGGAAGTTACTTCTTTTCGACCGTAGGTTTGGAAGCTGCAATATAGTTTTCCCTTCTTCCCCTCATCACGACAGGAGACCCCATGGTTGTCTGATGGCCTACTGTCTCTTCCGTAATAATCAAAGGCAAGCTGTCCGCCTTAATTTTCATAGGATCCACCTCATCCTGAGGATGTGCATCTTGTTCGTCTTCCATTATTATTGGCATTTCTGTTTGTTGGAATCTTAGGGAGTGCTCATCCGCCTTCGCCTTCAAATTCCTCACTGAATCCCCCTCATTCCGAAAGTGGGCAGAGCCTTCCTCTTCTTTCTCCATTGTCCTCGCGGAATTCAGCTGATCGTGAAAGTTGGCGTCATCATGTCTTCTCTTCCTCTACTTTTACGTGCAACATATCCGCAATTTTCTGCAATCTGAGACGGCGCTCTCCTGACTGCGTCGCCAAATTCCTGCCTGAATCCCCCTCCATTCTCCTCACATATTTCAGCCTGTTGTTAAAGTGAAAAGGGTGTACCTTTACAGTCTGCATTGTCCTCTCTGAATTCAGCTGACCTTGAAAGTGGCCATCGTCTTCGTCTTCCTCTACTTTTAACGGAATAGTATACTGAAGTTGCTGGTTTCTGAGATGTTGCTCTTCTGCCCTCATCGACAAATTCCTCGCCCAATCCCCCTCGTTCTGAAAGTGGGGGGATTGTTCTTCCTCCTTGGTACTTGGTTTCTTCATTTTTTGCATTTGCACCAGCCTACCGATCAGCTGTAGCAGGACACATTTCCACTGCTGAAACAAAATCATGGGCCGTGATGGTATCTGTGTTCTCTCATGTTCCCTGTACGAAACCCACCGAAGGTGGCAACACATAATCACACACACAGTGATTATGATGAGGATGAGAAACACAGGGCCAAGTATCGTCCAGATATTCTTCTGAAATTCCCAGGACCCTGCATGTT